AATATAAAACTCACCTGTCAAAACAATTCTATCAAGGCTGGGACTCAAACCACTTATCTTATGAAGACTGGCCCAATCATCTCACCACTAGGCCATGGTTATCTTCGAGTCATATCTCCCTGGCTGAGAGTTGAACACAGGCCAGCATCATAGTCATATTAAACAAGTGAGGGTCTAAAGTCCACTCAAGACCTGGTTAATGTCTGAATTTGGTTTGAACCAGTGTCTGATCATCAGCACCTCCTCTGATCACAACCTTCTATAGCAGATGTTGACTCGCGGGCAATTGTCCTAAAATTGAAACCATCTATTGGGGAAATGTTGGTATTGCAAGGTAAAGGCAGAAGTATAATAATATAAATAAATTAAATATGCTTGTATGGATAATATATCATATAATATTGAAACGTTTGGTGGGCGGATTAAAAAGCTGGATGGGCCGCATCTGGCCCCTGGGCCTTGGTTTGCCCATGCCTGTTCTATATCATTATACAACTTGAGGTTTGGAGAGATTATTACGGTGGTCTGAGATGGGGGAATGAGATCTGAACCAAGGAGCAGTTTCATCAAGTTCAAGGTGGTGTGGGCCTAAAAGAAATGAAGACCTTTCATGTTTCAGGAGGAGTCTTACATTTAACCAATGGTTTTTGATGGTGCTGCTACTTCCTGGTTATTACTTTCTACCTTGGTCCACGTCCTTATTTTCTGTAAAACTCAGTTTTACTAACTTCAGACCTGTTCTTCTTCAATATGACTTATTTTGTTGACCCTGGTCATTTTTTACACATTCAAAGCCACAGAGAAAAGTGATTTTAATTCTCAGAGACTCAGCCGTTATTGGTCTACTGCTGCCTCCATCACTGAGTTCTAATGTGTTTTATCGTGTGATTTCACTTTTTGGAATTCTTTGTTCAGTCTTACTGCAATAACACAAACTAACAACAGGTGGCAGCAGTAGAACAGCAGCTCATGTGCTAAAATCACTGTTTTTCCCTATGGACTTTGGTGCAGACATACAGTACCTATCACATCAACTCCAGGTATAGAGTTAAACATGACTGACATCTTCTGCAGTGAATCTTATGTTGGACATAGGAATCTCTCTGGTACCAATGAAAAACCTGAACATTTTTTCTTTAAATGATTTTTATTAAATATTATTGTACTGTATTTGCATGATCTGCCCGTGTGTTCATGGGTTCTTTCCTGATACTCGGGCTTCCTACAGCAATCTTGGGTCTTCATTGCTTTTTAACCTGCTTTTACACAGAGGGAGGAGCTTGAACCCAGACCAAACTTTACTTCCTGCCTCTTTTACCCCTCCTCTTCTTCTTGGGTCTGACAGTTTGAGGTTGTTCTGGTCTGCTTTCTTCACCCAAGAAAGTGGCACTGTAGACGTTCATGTTGTCTTTCTTCTCATTTACATCTCTCCACCACATCTCCACTTTCTCTTTCTTCTTCTCCGACCTCCCTTGGTGCCTCCCCCGCCTCCTGATTTTTGTTCTGTGGTTTGGTGGTAAATATCTGCAAGGACAGGACTTGCTGGCTGAGGATTTTGATCTTCTCCTCAGTATATTTCTCTTGGAGCTTCCACTGCTCCTCCTTTTTCAGCCAGCTCTCCAGACTTAGCTTGTTCTCCCTGTGCAGCTCCTGCACCTCTGTCTGCCACATGTTGTCCTTCTCCTCTAACATCATCTTCGTGGCCTCCTCAGCCCCTTCCAGCCGCTGTTTCCACTCTGTCTCTTTGGTCTTCAGGTCATTCACCAGTTTGGCGTTCTCAGACAGTGAGTCGATGTAGGCGTAGGTCCTCCTTACCGATTTCTTGGTTTCCTTCTTGAGGAGGTCCTTGGTTCTTTTTAGCTCCTCCTGCCCCTGCCTCAGCTCATCCACTTCCTGTCGCAGACAGCCATTTTCAGCCTGCAGGGTCTTGATTTCAGCAATGGCCTGACACAGCATGTCCTGCAGGGTGTTTATGGTTTCCTTCAGAGGTGCTTCATCCAGCCTCATTGGCTGGTCAGTCTTAGTCTGCAGGTCCATGACCGTGGTTCAGAGAGAAATCAAGAAACTACAGGTGACCTGACTTTAAATCTGATGCTGTGGACTCTTGACTGTTCTGAGCTGTCAAGAAGGATTGAAACAATCTTTCTCAGTGTTAATGGCAGTTTGTGTTAATGGCAGTTTGTTTCCACCACAGTCTACTTCTTCTCCTCTTGCTCTTTGTTCCTTTGTGCCTTTAATCCGCTTCTTTTGCAAGGATGAGTCATCAAAGGTTTAGAAAGGTCCAGGGTAAGAGGAAGTGGAACAAGTTCCACTGCCGTTAAACAAACCTGAAATGAAAATGTGAGCATAACCTTTTTCTGCAGTTTAACCCTGTCCATAAAACTCTGTGTTTCAGGGTGAATAAACACAAGGGAATTTCCCGTTTTGTTTTTTTGTCACTTATTTATTCCTGAAACTGGAAACTTTTTTTGCAGTGCAGGGCAGTGGTTAAGGAAGCAGACTTGGGTCCGAAAGGCTTCAGGTTTGAGTCCACCAGCTGCCAGGTTGCCACTGAGGTGCTCTGAGCATAGCACCATCCCCTCAGCACTGCCCCCTGTTCACTTTGGTGATGGCTTAAAAGTCATTTGGTTTCTGAGCTGAAAGGCAAAGCTCTCGATTCACTGGTCGATCTACGTTCCTACCCTCACCTATGGTCATGAGCTCTGGGTCATGACCAAAAGAACGAGATCCCAGTACAAGCGGCTGAAATGAATTTTCTGGTGGCAGAGCGCTCCCTTAGAGATAGGGTGAGGAGCTCTGTCACACGAGAGGAACTCAAAGTAGAGCCGCTGTTCCTCCACATAGAGAGGAGTCAGCTGAGGTGGCTTGGGCATTTACATCGCATGCCCCCCCGGACGCCTCCCTCGGGAGGTGCTCGGGTCCTGTCACTCTGGGAGGAAACCTAGGGGATGACCTAGGACACGCTGGAGCGACTATGTCGCTCAGCTGGCCTGGGAACGCCTCGGGGTCCCCCCAGAAGAGATGGAGGAAGTGTCGAGGGAGAGGGAAGTCTGGGTGTCCCTGCTCAGACTGTTGCCCCCGCTACCTGGCCCCGGATAAGCGGTTGATGATGGATGGATGGATGGATGGATGGATGGTACTGGATTAGTCCTGTAGTCTAGACCTAAGTACCATGTTTGTGAGTACTCCAATATGAGACAAGACCAAGACCTGGTCCACCTCCAGACTTCAGACTTGGACTGATGAGCTATGTCCTGGTGGTCTTGAATACTGTGTCCTCCTCCACCTTTTTTACTCTTCACCTCTGTCCTCCTTCCTAAATAAACTGAAAATACTGAAAGGAAGTCTGGTCCAGAACTTGTCTTTTAGAAACCCAGGACGTAAATTAAAAGTTTTGACTTTTTTTCTTCTTTTTCAGAAAAAAACATGTTTATTTTTTCACTGACCTTAAAGACTAGAGCTAAAAAGCAGTGAGTTGTAGAATACAAATTTAATACTTTGTTTTTAACAACAAGAGATACATTCCAATCCCCTCCCCACTCTCCCCTCTTACCGCCCCACCCAGTTCATGTCCATGCTGTACGCTCCAGCTCAGGAACAGCCAGCAGGGCGGCAACAGCACGCATGGCTGAACGACGAAGCTCCTCCTGCTTCTCAAACTCCTGCTTCACCGACCCCGCCTTCACCTGAGGAGGTGTTTAGAGCATAGTGTTGGTGCGTGTGGAGGGCAAATTCTTGTCTGGTTCCTACTTTAAACTTTCCTGCCTCTGTTTCCTACCTTAACTTTTCTCATCCCTTAGTTTCCCAACAATGCTACTTCCAACTCTTTTGCTTCCTTCACACATACAGCGGAACCCCGAGATACGAGCATCCCGACATACAAGTATTCCGAGATACGAGCAAATGTTCGCTTTGAGATACGAGTAAAGATTTGAGATACGAGCATGCTTACAGACACAGATGGTGTTTGCATTATCTACGTGATTTTCTTTCTTTCTTTTTCTTTTCTTTGTGCACTATTCTTCATAATAGTCCTAAGAAAGTGAGTGGTAAGGATGGTAGTGAGAAGAAGAAACGCATGATGACCATGGAAATAAACCATGAAGTTGTCGAGCCATGGAAATAAACCATGAAATTGTCGAGAAGTATGAGCGTGGTGGCCGCTAAAGAAATACAAATCGGAAAAACTCTTTTCCCTCCCTTTCCTCCCTTCCCTTCTTCCTCCTTCCTCCTCCTCCGCACATGCCTCCATTAGCCGCTACTGTAACATCTGTCTTGAAGGTAAGAACTTATAATTAAAACCACATTTTAATGTTGGATGTTTTCCATCCTGTTTTCATTGCTCTCCCTCTGTTCTATGTCTAAGCCTTTTTTCCTACTTCCTTGTCACCTTGCTGATACATGTAGCTCTCAGTGGTTCCACCAGTCGGTCCAGTCTCTGAAGAACACCAGTGGGACACAGAGATACCAGTCTGGCCAACATCAGGAAGGTCAGCATCTGCAGGTACACAGATACAGACTGATGTCACTGATGATGTCACTAGGTTTGATGTCATCAGTTACATTTGTCTCAATTCAATGAAGTTAAATGTATACATGTGTTCACGCTGACTGACGGAGGGGCAGATGTTTGAGAGCTGCTCTCCAACTTCTCCACCTACTCTGATGTCGTAGTGATCTTTGAGTCCTTCCTCCACATGATCCAGGAAGTCCAGGATGTCCAAGCTACCCAGGCAGCTCTCCAGCAGCGTGTACATGCACTCAAATGCCGCCTTCCTCAGATCGAGACCATCGTCCACCGTGTGTTTGAAAGGACCCATCTCCACCTGTTGTAAACACAATCATCTCAGAAGTTTCTGACAGCAGACAATGATCTTGAGAAGATGTGATCTCACCTCTCGAATTAGGTCCTTTCTGATCTTAGTCTCCTGGTACAAATGAGGCAGCAGCGCCCCCAACAGGCCGCGGATCAAAGAGGGCTTGTTGTGCGCTGCAGAGTTGAACATCACTAGGGCCACACGACGAACATTCAGGTCTTCATCCTGTAGGGTTTTCAGGAAATCACCTACCACAGGGAGAGGGAAATTTGACCAGATGTGGACCAGAAAGGTGGTCTGGTCTACGTCTG